TGATAATACTTCTACTGACAAAAAAGATGAATATTCAACATGCAATAGATATAATACTAATTATTCATGGTGTCAATCATGTGATCCAAAGCTATTAACTGAAGGATGGACCAGTGGCAATGAAACATTAGATGAATTGATTAAAAGTACACAACTTAAAGCAACAAGATATGATAATTTTTATTATCTTGAATGGATTCCTTATAATGATTTAACAAATATTAAAAAAATAGGTGAAGGTGGGTTTGCAACTATATACAAAGCTACTTGGTTAAATGGTGTGAAATATATAAATGATGATAATGAAAGAACTAATGAAGATATGACTGTGGCACTAAAAAAACTACATGATTCACTGATGAATTTCTTAATGAGGTAAATTATTTTATTTTTCTATTTATTTTCAGATTTTTTAGATATTATCAATTATTATTGTTGTAATTAACTTTTATTTATTATTTAGTTCAAAAATTATATAAAGTTTCATGATAAAGATGATATAATTCATATTTATGGATTAACACAAGATCCAATTACCAAAGAATATATATTTGTAATGGCATATATGGAAGATGGAAGTCTTCAAAATTACTTAATTAAAAGTTTTAATAATTTAAAATGGAAAGAAAAAATTGATATTCTTAGACAAATTATTAAAGGTTTAAAAGATATTCATGAAAAAGAAATTATTCATCATGATTTTCATAGTGGTAATATTCTTCAAAAAGAGAAAAATATGTTGACATATATTGCAGACTTAGGATTATCATGCCCAGCTAGTCAAACATTATCATCAAACAAAAATGATATATGTGGAGTACTACCATATATTGCACCAGAGGTTTTAAAAGAAAAACCATATACAAAAGCATCAGATGTATACAGTTTTGGAGTTCTGATGTCTGTAGTATCAACTGGCCAACAACCATTTAATAATTTGGCACATGATGAATATCTTGCAATGAAAATATGTAAAGGTGCAAGACCTGGATTCTCAAACAATACACCAAAATTCTATATTGAACTAGCATTCAAATGCATGGATGCTAATCCAGATAAATGTCCAATTGCCAAAGAAATTTATGATATTATTAATTTTTGGTTTAATTCATGTGATATGAATAGGATGATGAAAAATTTTGATTTTTATGAATATTCAGAAGAAGGACTAGATGAATTAAAATCAATTAGAAAAGAGATTAAGAAAATGGATGAAATAAAATTTGATCCTTCAACAATTACTGCAGTAATTCATCCAAATGCAGTTTATACTAGCAGATTATTAAATTTTATAAACCTTCCCCAACCTGTGAATTCCAATAAAGTAACAATTATTGGTAATAATAATGGTAATTATTAACATTCAATTATTGATTATTTTCATTTTTATTAAAATTAACAAACAATATTCACTCTTGTGATAAATATTTTGTAGATTCTAAACAAATTGATTTAGCTATACCAGATGACTTACCTGAATAAATTAAATCTTATCACTTGTTATGTATTAAATTATTTATTTATTTTTATTATCTGACTACTATAGTTTAAATATCTTGAAAATGATATTATATAATAACTTTTTTGAATTTTTTTTTTCATTTTGAAATTCAGATGTCAACTATGCATACTAAATAAAAAATAATGATTTCTGACAAAAAAATAAATATATATAATTTTTAATAATCATTGTTATCATACATACATAACTGCAAAATTATTTATTTCTTACCTTTTCAAATCAATGATTTCATTTTTTCATAGCATTAACAAGTTGAAGTGATGTACTTATCAATATATCATATATAAATAATTTATTAATATATTAAAATTTATCTGAATAATTCAAATATAATAAACATTATCAAATAAAAAAAGCCCGCATCTAATCATTTTAACTTGCTTGTTGAACCACTATTGCAATCAACTTCCAGAAGAGGTTCCCCATCCTCCAGATTTGGTTGTCCTAAATGATTCTTTCCTCCAAAAATACACAACTGACACAAACTACAGTAGATTGATTGTGGGTTTTGTTGAGCCAAACAATGCCAAACTCCTGATCTTATTTGGAAACCCTGATCTGAAAGCTTTGATGTTTCCCCCAATAGGAAGGGACACTATGAGTACATTAAAAAATACCACTTTCAATAGATAGCTAGGTCCTGCTTGTGTTGGTACTGTGAGATTGTAAATAAGGACTGAAGAAGTCCCGAGCATGTCGATCAATCGGAACCAACTTACTGCGGCAGCCACGTGATAATGACATCATTTTCTATTTTTATCTTAATATTTTGTGTAACAACTACGCCACATACTGCGTCATGTTACACATTAC